CTGCAATAAACAAATTGAGTTTCGTTATAGCGAGATACTCCGGAAGAAAGAATATTCCGTAACCGAGTAAGCCCGCAAGAGTTGGGCTTATCCCACAAATTAACAGGCCGGGTCGGGTTAGATTTTACCCGGGTGACATAAATCAGCATTTATTGTATGGTCCCCGGACTCTGTGAGAACAGAAAAACGACTTAACGAAGCTTTTTAGTATGACATCAACCCACCCTAATGGTAGATATTTGTCATTGTCTTTTTCTTCGGATCTTCTACTCTAGGAAACACAGTCGAAGAAGTTTAGAAGCTGAAGCTGAAATGGGTTCACTCGCAAAGCAGTACATGTTACAGCTTCGCCATCACCCTTTGAGAACCAAGGTCGTTTTTAATGTGTTTTTGTTGAGTTTGTTTCACTTATTCCTTTCTGATTTCTTACGGGGTATTGATAATTTTGCTTCGATATCTGTTCCCTTGCTTGTTTTTCCATTTGTTCGAGTTATTTTTCTTGATGGGTTTTCTTCATTTAGCTTGAATTCTGTTTGGTTGCTGACAACATGAATAAAAGATAATGAAAAAGCTTCAATTGCTAGAACTTGTATTCTTGCGGTCTATGATGCGTTTTCTCAATTTCGCTTCAGTTGTTCTTCCTTTGTTTGTTTTTTCAGTTAGTTTTAGTTATTTTATTTGATGGGGTTTCTTTATTTTGCTTCAATCTCTGTTCCCTTGTTTGTTTTTCTACTGGTTCTGGCTACTTTTCTGGATGGATTTTCCTTTTTTGATTGAGTTTTATTTGTAGCTGAGAGAGTGGATGAAATGAAACGGCTTCAGTTGCCAGAACTCTTATTTTTGTTTAGTCATGATTGGTTTGTGATAGAGAAATACAAGACCCTCAGCAACTACAACTAACTCCTTTGTGATTTTTGATGGGTTTTCTTTGCTTTGCTTGAAATTTGTTACCTTGGTTTATTTTCTATTATTCTAGTTACTTTTCCTTATTAACTTTTTTTGTCCTGCTTGAGTCCTGTTTGCCAGCTGAGGAAATGGATAAGAGAATGAAAAAACTTCAATGTTTAGAAGCTGTTTGTCTTGTTAGTCATAATTGGTTTTCTTGATGGGTTTTCTTCATTTTACATGAACTTTTGGTCCCTTGGTTGTTTTTCTATTAGTTGTGGTTACTTTTCTGGATGAGTTTTCTTTTCTCCTTCCTTTTTTTTGCTTGAGTTTGTTTAGTAGCTGAGGAAATGGATGAAAATTTTGAAAAAGCTTCAACTGGAAGAGCTTGTATTTCTGTTTAGTTCAAACTAGCTTGTAACAGAGACTATTGGCAGATTTTGAGATCAAAATTTAAAAAGTTTCAGGCTTTTGGGTTTGCAGGCAATTACAGCTGCGGTTTTGTCAGCAATCAGCGACAGTGTTTCTCAGAAGCTCTCTGGGATAGAGAAACTTCAAGTGAGGAGGCTTCTTCTCAAAGTGGTAAGCTCATCTTTCTCGTTTAATATTTGAAGATTTCTTGATTTGCAAACTCATTTGATAGTTGATTTGTGTTGAACTTGAACACTGTTTCCTTTATTCAGGTTCTAACTTAGGCATTCTGTACTTATATTTGATGGCTGTGGTGTAGTGTTAGGACACTGAGGCTTTATTTTAGATGATATAAAAAGAATCTCTGTGAAGTTTGGGGTAAAAGAATTATTGGTTTATTTGATGCCAAATTCTCCTAAAATTTTATTTGAGTTATGGGTTAATTTGATTTCTGCAGTTGGCATTGGAAAACACTTGGTTTTCTGATTTGTTTCTATTGGCTTTGTCTTGTATTTCATCAGTAAAAGTTGCGAAGTAGTGTGTTGAGTTATAAGTGCAAAGTTTTTGGTAAATTTTGGTTCTACTTGTTAATTTGTACTATTGAAGGCTTGGTCATTATGGAGGAGATACGGCATCTATCAATGCTCTAAATCCACTAGTGAATTAACATACACATTGTACCTACCTTTAATTCGGTGAAAGACAGAAATCGCAACACCTGGTTGAATTGTAAAACGAAATCTCCCTTGTAATTCAAATGGATATATGTTCAGTATGGCCTTTCATTTTGTCAAATTTAAGGTCGTTGGAGATTAGTAAGGCAATTTTTTGTTGGATGAATAAAAGCTTGCACTACTTTTTGTTTGAGTGGTTGATTATGGTACAAAAAAGAGATTGTCGATTGCTGAAGAGAAGAGCAGCTCATATCTGTGGTAATATGTAAGCATGTGCAGTTCTAGTTTGTTGACTTGCTATTAGATCTTCTCTTATATTTCAGTCATCATCCTAACATGGCTAAAAATACAGCTATTTGGATTTGCATATCTTGGACCATTTGGACATTTCTTTCATATCATTCTGGATAAGATTTTCAAGGGGAAGAAAGATTCAAAAACTGTTGCTCAGAAGGTAAGCTACAACCTCTTTAATTTGAAACAAATATGTTACCTCTTTTGATGTTTTGTCACTCTTTGTTGACCATATGAATTCCTATTTGTTTCAATTTTTTCTTCAGAAGTTTGTTCTCATTCAAACTGTTAGAAAGAATAAGATTGATTGCTTAATCAATAAATGTTTTTCTTCCATTCAAAGAGCAGAAAGAGATTATTCTGAACTGCTTGATTAAATCATGGCAGGTGGTTGTTGAACAGTTGACTTCATCTCCTTGGAACAACTTGCTTTTCATGATTTATTACGGGGTGATTGTCGAGGGTATGTCTGTACCTCAACTGATCAAATTTTGAACTTAAAAAATTTTGCTTACGATATGTGGGGACACGTTAATTGGTTTTCTGGTTCTTGAACAACCCTTTTAACATGGCAACAGTCTCAGAATTGTGGATGAAACCTTGGTAACAAAACATCGTAATCAAGTTCGAAATGCCTCTAAGAGAAGTTATCTAAAGAAAGAGACCGATACTGTTTGGTTTTCTATCATCTCTAAATCACAATCCTGGTTATGAGCTCTTTGTACACAATTCTTGGACTGATATTGTAAAGTCAAAACTCCTACATTTTTCAAAAATGTCAGCCAGGAAAAAATATATACTGGCTAGGTATGATATGCTAAAAAACAAAGTCCACTTCCTAGCGGACAAAAACATTACGCGTGGGAATAATTTTTTTAGTACGGAATGCAGGAAGACCCTGGTTGCATGTGAAAAGCAGAATCAAGAAGGAATATCCTAAAGTGCAAATTACAGCATGGACGGTAACAACCTTGTTTTCTTATGGACTTACGATGACATTACATGAAAACTTTAGATTACTGTTTAGTTGTATACATGTTTTGAATTCTATTTGCTACGTTCACATACATTATATATCCATTAAATATGCCTAATTGTTGAAAGTGAAAACAAATATTTGGAAAACAACAATGAAATATGGCTTGACTTCAAATAACCTTGTCTTCTTTTCAAACTCATGCCATATTTTCATTGCCATTTTTCAAATTTTGTTGTCATTTTAACCAACTATGCATATTTCTATGATAAATGTATGAGAATTTTGATAGTAAAACTCC